TCGCATCACCGTCAATTACCAGAAACTCAACCGCATCAGCAGCTTTAGTCAACTACCTGTTCCTCGTGTGGATGAGATCATGAACAAACTGCACCAGGGCTCCATCTTCTCGCTCTTCGACTTCACAGGCTCCTTCCACCAAATTCCCGTGCACCCCGACACAATTCCGCTTACTGCGTTCGCCACACCGACTCGCCTTTTCGAGTGGCTCAAAATGCCGATGGGTGCCAGCCAATCTTCAGGCTGGTGGATGAAGGTTATCAATGAGGTCATCAAAAACCTCGAAGGCGTCGACGCGTACCTTGACGATGTGGTGCTCTACGACAAAACACCGGCGGATCACATCCGCACCAGGCGCGCCTTCTTGCAACGGCTGCGTAAGCACAAGCTTAAGCTTTCACCGCCCAAGGCAACCATCGGCAAGACACACTCTGCATTCTTGGGACACACCATTACCCCCGACGGCATTAGGCCCAACGCCAACAAAGTCGCTGCACTCGCAGCTATGCCAATGCCAACCGACCTCAAGAAACTTCGCTCCCTTCTCGGTGGTCTGAGCTACTACCGCAGCTTCGTCAAAAACCTGTCTAAACGAGTACGCCCCGTCACGACGCTTCTCAAGAAAAACTCGTCCTTCACCTTCACCGCCGACATGGAAGCTATCGTCCGAGAAATCCTTAAAGAACTCTCCGAACCGCCAATTCTCGTCTTCCCCGACTGGAAGGCCATCGAAGACGGTACCAGACCTCTCCGCCTCCACTGCGACGCAAGCCTCGATGGTCTGGGCGCGACACTAGAACAAGAACAAGCAGATGGCTCTGTTCGCCCCATCGTCTTCATCAGCAGATCGACACTTGACGCTGAGCGCAACTGGACACCACTCGACTTGGAAGCTGGCGCCATCGTTTGGGCCATCAAACGCTTGCGTGGATACTTGCGCGGCACACACTTCCAAATTTGGACCGACAATCAGGCACTGGAGAACATCTCCAAGGTGGGAGACCACAGCCCACGCGTACAGCGTTGGCTTGAGTTCCTCACAGCGTATCAATACACTCTCAAACACCGCCCGGGCTCCTCCAACAGCAACGCTGACATGCTGTCTAGACTACCCATACCCGCCACTCCGCAGGACATCACAGGAGATAGCCGCATCACCATGCCAGATGATGTGGGTGTCTACATGATTCGCGCCACCGGCAACACTCCTTCTGGTCCTTCTCCACAGGGTATTGCTTTGGGTGGGCTAGTACCCAACAACGGCACCGACACTTTGAGTGGCTCCCCACTGACACCAGCGGATTTCCAGGATTTTCGCCGGCACGGGCTCCGAATGAGCATTGACGACCTCGACGCTCCTCCCGGAGTATTCGCAGCTCGTGCTTTTCTGTCAGTCTCCAACAACATTTCACGTCTCCACTCTCGCCACCCTCCTGCGTTGTGCGACATCAACACAGTGCATCAATCGGCTTTGCCTCGACATTTGGACCATCATAGCAAGGACCCTACCACAGAACGTCCCCCTTCCTCAAATCTTCAACACCATCCCGGCACACTACAGTCTGCCGCTCAATCTCCGGCACAACCTGCCAGTTCGACAATGCCCCCTGCAACTGCAGCTCTCTCCAGATCAGACATCCTGGAAGCACCTGCACTTCAGCGGCCTCTCTCTCCTTCGCGGTTGCGCCCGCGTTCTTTGGATCTATCAGATTTGATATCCACCCGCACTCGACGCCGCGCAGCTGCAACATCGGGGAATCCTCTGCCTCAAGTAACTTACCGCTTCAGCCCAGACATTTCCGCCACTGCGGCACCAGCACCTGCTGCACAGCCACGCAGGCCGCACACAAACCCTTCTACGCCACCTGCGCAGACGACCGCTGAACTTGTACCCACCGTACCAACAGCAAATAACACTGCTCCCTCAGAACCTCTCGCAGAACCTCTGCCGGAATCGGCAGACACACCATCCACAGGGACCCCCTCCACTTCAGCTTCTTCGTCACTTCCAGCGCCACTACCTTCTCCGGCTGAGATATCCTTCATGGACTCTGTAGCGCGCTTCACACACGCCGACTGGCATGAGGAACAACAAAAGGACGTCACTTGCAACTCCGCCATTCGCTACATTCAACTTGGGCAACCTTTGGCATTGCCCACAAACTTTTACGGCGACACCCCAGAACACTTGCGCCCTCCCCTCACCAACATCAAGGAATTGGCCACCAAAGGTCGCATCATCACAGATGACGACGGCAATCCGCTCTTGGTTCGACAATTTACCAAACCGCCAAACTCCGACAACGATCGTCCTAGCGGTAGAGCTGCTCGCCTTCTCGACAATGAACCCACGCGCATCTATGTGCCCGTACACATGCGTCCTTGGGTAATGCTTCAATGCCACTCCAACACTCTGTGCCACCTTGGCACCGCCAAAACCATCAGCCTTCTGGAACAACTCTACTGGTGGGTTGGCATGAGCTCTTGCGCCCGCTTCTGGACTCGACAATGCTACACGTAGCAGAGAGAGCGGTAGGCGGAGGGTAGAACGAAGCCCGTTGGCACACAGAGTACCTCGCAACACGCACTCTTCGTTTGTTATGATGATGGTTGAGCTATGAAAATACCCTAACCCTACAGACAAAATGTTCACGCGTTGCGTGGCACGCTAGCTAGATCTCTCGGCGTAGAGTTGCTGCTGAAGTGGTGGCCGGTTGGTCTTGGTCAGGGCTGAGCCTACCACAGGCAAACGCATATCGAAGTAAGTTCCCCAAAGGAAGGACGTATCCAAAAGGATCGTGGCGATCGGTGTTTGGAACCGCTTGATCTGAGTGTGAGAGGGTGATCGATATGGCTCGTGTCTTGACAAATGGTCACAGCAGGTTTCGCAAGCCGTTCGAACTTCTTCCCGATTTACAAGACCTAAATCAAGGACCTTTTGGTCCGTAAGCGTACGATCCCTCCAAACAGATATTTTATTTCGCTAAAGCAAAAATGCGCTCCTATCAGCGCGCGTGAACTGAAAATATGCTACGATGGTGCGGGCGTCACCACTCCAATATCGTCAACCTGTCAAACGCACGCACACGCGTGTCAAACCCACGAATGGGGCACGGACACACTCGCATGCGCCAGCACGTGCTGTAGGTTGCGTTCAGCAGAGGAGTTGATGTCTGTGTCTGCGTCGGGAGGGAACGACATTGAACCTTTGGAGATTGTTGTGCAGACGGTTTTGCTTGATGCGCGGACGTCGTTGTCGCGATCGAGTCAGCCCGAGACTGCCCAACTCCACATGCGCGCGTCCGCAAGACGCTGCTTTGTCCCAAACATTCAAGCCCACCACCACCAACACTCGCCACACCTGTAACATCCGATTCTACATCATGCCTCCCACCAGCGAGAAACTTCGTAGTAATCGCGCATAGTGTGTGGTGCCGATATGGCGAGGCAGGAGGACACACCAGCAGGTTCTCGCAAGCGAGACACGGACCGCACTACTAACCGTGCCCGCAACAGAAAAGGCTGTCAAGGAGAGGGATCGCGGCTACCATTGCAACAACAAGGACTCTGTCAACTCAAACAAACGGGTTACATCCTATTGCAGAGCTTAATGGCAACGATGAGCATCAAGCTCTTACGGAGACACGTAGACCCGATATTCTTGATTAGCAAACAGGAATCAATCGTATCCACGACATACGCATGTTTACGGCGGATTGCGGTGTTACGTGCATTGCGCTCTTGCCCTCTTCCACGGTGCGATTCGGGCCCCTCCACCCATTGGGGGCGGCGGGGCCGTTCAGGCCCTAGTATTGAGTGACTTCGTGTTTCTCGCGGTCATGCTGCCGCAGATCTCATGACAGCGGCAAGTCTCTCGTCATGGGGGCGTGGCGCTACGAACGATTCGCTTGCACAAGGGACTGGAATCCACCCTCTCTGTCGGGTGTTAGAAGGTAGGCCGACCTCTCTCCGTGATTTTGAGCAACGGGCGTGTGAGGGTTTAGGTTGCCTTTGCCACCACGCGCAACAGGCCGAGTCCACGATACAAGACACAAATGGCGGCTCGCGATATTTAGCATCGCCGCAAAGCAGAGAGGGTTCCATCATCGTAAGATAGTATTTTGAGGTTGTATCTGCATTGAACAAACTCGCTTGTTCGTTATCATTCTAGTGGCTGCGGGCTGACCGGGGTTCGCGAAGATCCGTCTACAGTTTTACCCAGATGGCTATGGTCACGACCTTGACTTGAGGTGGACAGGTGTTGACCGCTCACAGACAGCCAGCTTTCCGGCATGGTACGGATGCCGTGGTGGCGGCAAGAACGGCACGGTTGATTGTTCGTCGACAGAGCGTTTGCACGAACATCGCACATCCCTCTCTGAAGAAGACTGGGGGGCCGGGTCCTTGACAAAGAATTTCCTGCTCACGACGGTGAGGTTTGCGTCCATGTACGAATGTATGCCTTCTAGAGCATGAGCCGATATGCGTGTTTGTATTCCGTTTCTTCTCAAAATAAAGGGAGAGAAACGTTGCCAAACAACATGGGGTTCGTTCATAGATTTTTCAGACTTTGGTACAGTGGAAAGCGTTCCGCACACACACTCTCAGTTTGTGATATCTTCCCGCTTGGATCGCCCTATGGACACGTGTTCACAGAGCTGACGCGCGTTTTTAGTCGTCCACACTGAGAGGTAGTTTCCTACCGTTGTTCGCAGCCTTCCCCCTTGGCCTTGAACCAATGAAAGGAGAGCCTCCTCGATCCCGAGTCATAAGAATAATCGTTCAGCCGCTTTTTCCTTCACACCCACTCGCAAGGATGCGCAACATGCTTACAACGGGGGGACACAGCTGGAACAGAAAGTAGTTCTCAAATGAGATTCGAGCTCCCGACCCATCAACACTACTGGAGCTCCGGCATGTCCACCTCTTCTCTGCAGGTGTTGGACCAAGTGATCGGGGCGTACGACACGTCTTTGGACACCATCGTCGGAAGCGACCTAATGGGCCAAGACGCCGCCAATAAGTGAGCATCGAAGCGTGCTACAGTGCACCACGGTGCTTTCTTGTGATCTCTGCCGGCTAGTCCCTGATCCTGCTGGCGTTGTTTCAATTGATATGAACGTTTCCATGAATGCGTGTGTTGCGTGACGCCCGGTGCCGCATAAACAAGTTTGACGGCCATCGTTCAGTCCATGGGGCTCCTAATGGAGGCCGGAATGGAAGATGGCGAAGATGTGATGACAATCGAGAGTGACCACGTACAAGCTAGCTGCCTCATCACTTCAAGGACGGGGAGCTTGAGTTTCGACGCTGGTGAGAGCTTACACTCGCACAACTTCCTTGAACAACGAATACTTCCTTGTGGAGTGTGAAGGATCCAACCGATTGGACGATTCTCTTCGATACCGGTCAAAAACAGAAAATGCAAAAAAAAAAGTACGCGCTTGTTGTCCTGTATTTCCGTAATGAAAGGAACATCATCGGTGTCGTTCGAGAACGGCGTCATTGGTTCTCCATCGCCGCCATCCACGAGGAGACGAATGACTCCTGAAATGGACGAGGGGTCGAAGTGCAAAGCAGGCGGATGTGGTTCATCGACAAATCGCAGGCGAAGGCCATCCTCTCGTCGCCTAAGTACTGTTTCCCCGGCATCTACATCAACCGTGCTAGTCACAAACCAGCTCTTCAATGCTGTTAGCCGGCCGTCGGCCCTCGTCAACGGGGGCGTCACACAAATCAGGGTTTCAAGTACCGATGACGGAGAGGTGTGTCAAGTCAGTCATCGAGAGAACATGTAGTCTGTGCCTGCTTGCAACATGCTTTCAATGTCAGGTCAGAGGCAGTTCGGCCCAACCGTATCTCCGCAGAGTCAGACAAGCAACACACGTTGATCGTGGTAGCAACGACAGCCGAACGTGCTAGCATTAGGGATCATTTCGTTCATTTTCCCTTCTAGGCCGATGTTTCTACCTTATCAGCAAAACTGCGACTTACCATGCACGTTTAGCCTTTGCGTATCAGCCATGCTGTGTGGAGTTGCGTGGGGGTGCCGTGTCTTCTGCCACCCTACTACTTGATCTGAACATGGTTTTTCGTACTCGGTGTTAGCGGAAAAGACGATTAGCGAAATGTGTGGGTTTCTGTCGGGGGTGTTGCTTCTTTCGTGGGTGTGGTATACGGAGTGTTTGCCACGCAACCACCAACATCATAAGGTGTCACGCGTTGTGAAGTCAGGTTGCCGGGCATTGCTAGTTGTCTTCCGTTTGCCATGCATACCATTAGAAGAGGACCGCATGTACCACCTGGGTTTCACCACGCAACCAGTTACTTCGCTGGCCCTCATGTCTTGCCTGCCTGCTTGCCGATCATCTCCACCCTTCAGGACATCGCGTTGGCAGGCCCGGTGCAGCTGACAATGAGGGCGTCAATGACATCGAGTGCTCTACTCCCGTCGTGTTCATACTACAACGAGGAAACCGGCCTCTGGGATTCAGAGGGTCTCGCTATTGGCGCAGTTGCTGTCCCGATCGACGCGGGCGACAGCGCACTGGATGTCCTCGTGTCCTGCGTGACGTTTCACCTGTCGGACTTCGGTGTGGCAACCACAGAAATCGAGACCGTCTTCCAACCGGTGACGTTGGTGAACTTTTGTGTTGATTTGTGACATTGTGAACGTTTGTGATCTCGATTCAAGTTTTCCACGTTGTCTTGTACCATGCCCAAGAAAACGTCGGTGCCTCCCATGATTGAGCCGGGAACGGCGTGCCGCAGCTAGCGTTGGCCCTGCAGCATCGTCTATTCGGCACCCCAAGCGTAGTGTGCCTTGCCTGAGCTCGCACCTTTCCCAGGAGCACGTGTAGGATACAAGTACATCTGCTCATCTGTAGCGGGCAAAACAATCATAGACTATTCCCACAATGATGCATCCTTACCCCCCCGCATGGTTCTGGTCAGGGGGCAGGCCTCAGTGTCGTCAGTGGAAGGGACATGACCGTGTGGGGACTTGTGCTGACGGTAGGCGCCTTGATCCTTTTGGGCATCGTCTGGAGCGTCTCCAGGATAGCAGATTATCGTTCGAAAACGGCCGAAAAGCTTCAGACAAGGGCCTACGACCACTACATCGAAACAGGACATGTGAGTGTTAAGTGTACCACCCTCTCAGCAGTACCACAACATACCCGAAGTTGGTGGCCAAGTTTGGCCACAGCTGTCTCTGATTGCGACTGATGTGTGCCGGGGTAGATTATCCTCTCCCCAGCCTTGCGTGTACATACGTACATACACACGGGTGACGCATTGGTCACACGTCCAGAGAACACAGAACATAACTCAGCGGGGCGGGCGAACACGTCAAGCCTGCACACACTCCGCCGTGTTTTATTGTAACCCGTTGAGGTGTAACCTCGCCCGTCACACTGTTTGGGTCCAATTTGGGCATACGTTCGTTTCCCTCGACTGCTCTGTCCGCACCAGCCCCAGCGGCTACCGACTTTGGAAGATATCAAGGACTTGAAACAGACGCTAGAGAGGAAGCACAAGAGAAGACGGAAAAGACGGGATGAGTCATTTGCAGGATACCTTCGACGGAAGTTGTTCCAACGGTGAGACTACTTTGTTCAACGGTGTGTCATGATAGCTGTGTGTTGCGGATGACGTTAACGCCGCCTTGCGCTACTTCACGATCGGTAGAACGTGGGGAAGGTGTGTCTCGATGACCTTTCTAGGTATGGCCTTGTTGGGGTTTCATGCGTAACGGTATGGGTGATGCTAATAGAGTCAGTTGGTCGTCGATTTGAGCGGCATGAAGAAAGTGTACCCGTCCCTTCCTCACCCTTGTGCACGAGGGCCGAGATACTTCCGGTGACGCAAACGACACTGTTTAGCATTTCGCTGGGAGGGGTTAGCGGCGAGACATCGGCCATAGACGGTCGTCCGTGCCGGTGCTTCTAGTTAGGGTTCATGGGTAGGGAGACACAAGCCACCCGAGCCAAATGATACACTACTCATCGAATGTTCCGCATGCCTTTCTCCTCAAATCGTATCAGAACTCGGTCCTGGCTTCAGTTGATCTGGGCACTGCTTAAGCATGTGCTTTTCTTCCACCCTTGGGCTGGGATAATTGCGCCATCTGGAACTCATTTAACTCTCACCAGGGCACAGGTAGGAACAGTGACCTGGAGCGAAAAAAGACTGTGTCACGATCCGAGTGCGCCATTAAGTACTTCTGCGTCCTCATGGGACTAGGGGTACCGTAGCGGTCACGGCCTAGATCCGGATGCTAGGAGGGGGTAATCATGGCCCCAGATATTATCATCCACCTTTGAGTGCTAAACGCGACTTGTTGCTCAGCGAAGGCGACACAATGAATCGCTTAACAAGATCGACATCCAGAAGATACTTTATCACTACACGCCCCCTCATGCCCCGCACTCAGACCGGATGCTTACGTTGCATCGATCTCATACCCTTTGCTTGCTTTGGCAGCTTTCATTGTTGATATTTACACAAGTGATGGTCATCATGATGCTTTCCGCTGCCGTATCTGGAAACGCCACCAGCCCAGAGGTTGAATACGTGCAGATTTTGGTCAGGTGAGATGGAGGAATTCTACTTGCCGCCCATCATATATTGCCGAAAACGGCCGATGGATGCCGTGGCCGCGAGAGATACTAATCCCGCTTTCGGTGTGTCATGTGTTGCTAGATGGTCCAGATGCTACACAATATCGTAAGCAGCTGCGCACCAGATCCTGCGTGCGTGCTTCAATCTACAAAGACTCCTGTTGGAACAGGTCCACGGTCGCACCATGTCGATATTACCGCAGCCGATGCAAATCGATGGGACATGATGCCTTCCTTTGTCACTGCTTTCTGCCCAACCATTTGCTCTTCCAGCTTAGCGGCGACGCTACCGGCCTCAATTATCGTTCCACGGGCGTTTGCTGCCTCGGCTACACCACCTCCTTCGGTCACCGCGAAACGCAATTGGTTGCAGGTGGGTGCGTCATATGGTTGACGGTCGGTTCTATCAGTCTGCAACACTCGAAGCTATTGACATCGTAAACTCAAGATATGTCTTCTCGTAAAACCCTGTCCCTAATGCCACCTGTCTCACAACACCCCGACATAGGTCGTCGCGGACGCAAAAGGAAAATACCAAGCTTCGAAGCCAATTCTATCATCGGAATACGGCAGCAAGTCAAGGTGTGTGATGATGATTTACCTAAACATCAAACATGTGTCACGCAGTAATGGACCATGGCCGGTTTCGCAACTATGTAGGCTAGTAGTGGCGGCAGATTTCAACTTTCAGGAAGTATGGAAATATGGATCTTGTCTAGTTTATGCCAGACTCGTCACCAGCAGTTGGTCAGTTCGACCAAAACCCCTCGCTCTAGCCCAACATCTTGTCTCTCGTTTAACCACACAACCCGTTGTAATTGTCTGATGGTCGCTGTCGGATTTATTTCCGACGTCGTCGGGTACAAGTACGTGGGTTCACGTTCCCTGTATCGCGGGCAACCCTAGAGTGAGACCGGCGGTAACCGTTAGGCTTTGCTTCAAATGTGCAACGTTTCTGCCAGAGAGCGCCTGATGATCTCACATATCAAACATGTCTGCGGTCGAGAACCGTGTACGGGGACTATGTGTAGAAATCAGCAAACATTTTTCGCCTTCCGTATACATTTTCTCATTATCTTCGACGTCCCACATCACACCATAAACATTTGTTTTCATTTTATTTTTTGTTCATTGCGGTTTCGTTCATGTGACGCTTGCTCTTTGCTACTGTCCCTTGCATGTCGCAATGATACGATGTAGATGGGTGCGCGAGCCAAATTACTTTCTGGCGGCAGTATACTTGGTGGTCGCTCGAGTAAGGCAAAGCATTCCACGCGACGGGGCTTTTCCTCCTCGGGACCCTGATATCGGGGACGTCCTTAGTCGGGGAACGTGAGTCAAACGCAGCATTCGGACACTTCATCCGCGGCTTAGACCAATGCATATTGTCCAACTGCCCTTCGGGAAGGTGATCAGTTGCGTGCTCCTTGTTTGCCTCGCTTTTGCCTCTCACGGCCGGTTGAACATTGACCTGAAAATGTTGCGACTCCTCGACAGGGGTCATTCGAACTCTCTCAGCTAATGTTCACGCTGCTGACATGCTGACCGAGACCCCGCCTCAGACCGACT